CAGAACAGTATCCCTGTATACCAAGACGTCTGAAATAATTACTTCTTTTAACTAACTAGTACTGTCCTAATCAATGATCAAAAAAAAAAAAAAAAAAAATGAAGATTCATCCCAGGGTTAATTCCTAGATCAGTATTTGAAAGTACTATTTTATATATGTAGAAAAAAAAAAAAAACAGCTTAATTGGCTGCTTCCTAATAAAAAAAAATATTTAAGGAAACCACTACACTGGATTAATATTTGTGAAAATGTTTGGCAACAAATGTCAACTGATATAATATTATAATTTCCCTTCAGATGTCCCAGTCAAAACAGGGACAATGATGTCCTTGCTGACCCTTCCACAGGGAAGAGGTTATGTGATCATTACAATCAAGTTAAAGTGACCTGGGAAAATCCCCTCCCTCCTGTTCGGCTTTGATCTTCAGTCAGGTCTCAGACTCCAGCACCAGAGAGACAGTAGTGTAAACAGCAAGACCTAACCACTTGATAGTCTTACTCCTCTTAGTTAAGCTTATGGTTGCAAGTTCTATGAGGTTCTGCACACTGATTTTTCACCTTCCTTGCACAGAAATGGTTTTCTAGGGAATATCTGTGACAGCATGTCTGGCATTGAAAAAGCACAAGAACTAAACACATCTATAATTCTTGTTTCTCCATTCATTCCTAGATGAGTAACATTTTGGAAAATTAATCTCACTGGATGCCCTATTCAGACAATTGGCTGTGCGGGAAAAAATATTAAGTGATTTGTCACCTAATTGCTACTTAATATCTGCTGATGGGAAACGTGTTTGACCCTCAAAGAAAAAATTAAGAACAAAACACAGAATCACATTATAAATTACAAACCCCCTTTGTGTTATAGCAGTAGGTGCTTAAGTTAAATATTATGAAGGCAGTGAATTTACACACTGAGGAGAAAACAGTAAATCAAAACTACCCTGTGAATAGCCCAAGATCAATTTCTGCCACAGATATTACCAAGCAACAAGGTGGATGTGAACATGCCTCCACTGACACACGGGAACAGGTCTAAACCCATTCCCACCTACGGGCTTGCTCTCCACTCGGTTATTTACCTACAAGCACATGCTCTGCTGCAGACCCAGGCTGCCCCAAGCCCTCCTTTATGTGGGCAGCCTGAGCATGCCCCAGCTCCCTGGTGTCCTGAGTAGCTCTGCACACCCTGGGCCGTTGTTAGCCTGACAGGGGGCAGGCAGGCAGCTGGCCAGCCGGCTGAGAGCCACGGCAGCCCGCAGAGACAGCCACGGCAGGCAGCGTGCTGGGGCCTGCCACCAGCCTGCCCTTCCTGCAACTGCTGTCCCAGCCCACCTGCGCCTTCACACAACTCCAGGAACAGCAAGGACACAACTGTGCCATTTACAAGACAGATCCCAAATGGCTGTATAAGTGCTGCTCCTCATTCACAGAAGTGCTGTCAATTTCCAAAACCCAGTTAAGTCTCACAAGTAGCGAGCTCACTGATTCACTCCACTAATGCACTTGAGCCATGACTCGAGTTTTGCGGTGATCACTTTTTTTGTATACTACAAAAGAACAACTTTAGCCTAAAAATGCAGAAGAAGTCTATCCTAGACTCATCTTTTCACCCTGCACAAGGGATGCTCCCTCCTTCTCACCCTATGCCACTCAGGCTTCATCAATCTCCAGGTTCCCTTCAAAGGATCTGTAAATTGGATAATAACAGAAGCAGCACTACAGACCTAGAAAACACTCGGAGTGGGAGGGACATGCATTTCCTTCTGTAGAGATTACAGTTTGAACAGTTATTTTCTTAACACCTGCCATTTGCTTGCACCCCTGCTGCATATGAACCCAGACCGATGAAAAATGGACGTCAAAAATAACCTCAACTCTGAGCCAGTTCTCTAGCTGAACAACAGCTCTACTGACACAGCTGAGAGGGTGGAACAGAGGTAGGAACAAGTGGCCACAGCCTGCTTAAATCAGTATTACCTCTGAAAAATGCATGTGCAATCATGCCTTATCTCTCCTGACCCCAGAGGTTGTGGAAACAAGCAGACAAAACCCGGCTTAGGCAGAAAGTACACCTATCTCTCTGTCTTTCCCTTTAGTCTATCTTAAGCATAATCTCCCCTTCCAAGCTCCTCAGTTAGCATGAGAATCAAACACCTGGTTCTTTAGCATTTTCACCTAACTGCCCATCTTCCTCCCTTAAAGCACTACAGAACCTGTCCCCACTGCTCCCTCCAAAGAGAGACACTGCAGGGAGCTCTATGTAGTGGTGCAGAAGGGTCTATCACCCCTCCAGAAATGCCAGCAAGTCCCACAGAATTTATTTTTCCACACTTTCTATATTTCCTCCCCTGCTTAGTGCTCTACATCAGCATTTTAGTAGCACAAGCCCCACAAAAACACATCCAATGACTCTGACAAATTAACTGACTTCAAAATAATGAGCTCCACTCTCCAGTCTTGCCTGTAGGGAAGATCTGGTTTAAAGTAAAAGAAAGGCCATGTGGAGAATAATGTACTCGCTAGATTAGGTTCTAATTGGATATAATTAGAACCTTAAAAAAACCACCAAAATACCTTCCCATGCAAACTCCTCACACCAGTCTATTATCTCATTCCATCTGGTCATCTCTTCTGGAAATAAATGTATTTGTCGTCTCATATTACATTTGCTTATAGAGAGCACAGGGGATTTCTTTACTCTCCATTTCCTCTTCAAACTCTTACCTATCACCTATGAATTTTCTAAACACCTTAACCAGAAACAGATCACAGGCATACCTGCAACAGAGCAAGTGCTGTTGTATGCTCTGCACTGCTCTTAAGTTCGTCACAGTGGTAACAGCAGCAGCACTGCACAGAGCAGGGGATGAAGAACATTAACCTCCAGTGTCAGTAGCTTACATGTTTGCCATATTGTTACTGTTGGAAAGGAAGGATAGTCCAGTATCTCAGTAGCATCCCAAAACCACAGGGAAACCACTTTAGCCCTAGTTTCTTACATGAGTTAAGTTTCCTCGCCACTGTTTTTCTGATTCAAAGCTGACTATGGTGTGAAGTTGCTCTTCTGACCCCCCTCCCTCCATATACACACCTTTCCATATTCCCCTCCCACTCCCATTAATTGCCCTTGATCTGCCGCAGCCTAGTTTCTGGCTGCTGGAACTACTGGCAACTAGGCTCAGCCAGGAAGTAACTTACAGGCCCCTTTCACCTTCACGCCGTTCTGGAACTGCCCGTTGCTTTGGGATGCCCTCTATCACCACTTATCAGCTCTTCCACAGATAATTTGGCTCCCCTCTCAACTGAAGACTGCTCTTTCATCTGCTCCTTCACTCACCCGCACCCTCAGGGCTCTGTCCTTATTCCCTTCTTTGCACTTTAATCATTTACTGCTCTAATCTGGTCACTTAAGGCATTAGTTCCCAGCCCAGCCCAAACGAACTCCTAAACGCCACTCTCAACTCCTGCCCAAATCACTTAAATTTCATGTCAGTAGCTACCTTCGTACAGTCCCACTGTCAGCTGATGTTTGAAAAGGCCAGGTCTAGTATTTTTGTTTAATCTTTCCCCTCTGAACCGTCCTGTCTTTTCCCTATCCGGGGACCCACCCCTGCTGTTTTCTTTTATCGGGTAATCTCCTTCTTTCACTCTTTGACAGGCAGGTTGTCACCAACATCATGAGACTCCTCCTCTCCACCTCCTTTGGCACAAAAGCTCTGGGGAGCCCAACCAGGGCTGGCACCTGAGCAGCACCAAACGTAGCCGAGATCACACGGGTGTTTGGGGCACTCCTACCTGCAGCGGGGCAGCAGTCAAACAAAACAGCCACCTCCCGCCCTCCATCTTCCTTACCCCGTAACTCGCCAGCCGCCTCCTGCAGAAGCACTAATCACCCGAGCAGGGAAAATGGCCTTCCCGCCTGGCTGCCTCACGGCGGCTCTGGGCGCCACGCCGAGCCACCCGCCGCCATGGCGGGAGGCCTGTGCGAGTTATTTACCGGGGATGAATAACCCAGCCCCGGCCTGGCCCGCTCGGCACTGGGGTGGCAGGAGCGGCGCACGGTGTCGCGGCCTCCGGCCCACCGACGGCTCCCGGCGGGGCTCCCCGTCCCGGGGACACCGAGCCCACCGCTGGCTCCTCCGCGTCCCGGGGGAAACCCAGCACCAGGGCCGGCAGCCCCGGCAGACAACGGGAGTGCCCCTGCACCGCCGCTCTGTCCCGGCCTCGCTACCGCCAGGCCTGGGCGGGAGATGGGCTGCGGCGGGCCCGGGGCTGGCAGGAGCGGGAGGCTTCCCTCTACTCTTCATCCTTCTCCTTCGGCCCCGCTACTGGGAAAGTTACTTTTTAACTCCGCCGGTCTCCGGAGAGCCGCGGGCCCGCCCGGGCGTCCCGCCGGGAAAACAAGGTCAGGACGGCGAGGCACAAGGCGCCGCATGGAGCGGCGCGGCCGGGGAGCACCTGGGCCGAGGCGGGGCCTTGCTCCCGCCGCCCGGGCCCCTGCTCCCGCCGCCCGGGCCCCCTGCCCCAGCCGGGGGGAGGAAGATGGCCGTCCCCAGCCCTCCGGGGATAAAAGCCCTTTGTTGCGCCAGCACAAAAGCCAAGAAGCACTTTACGTCCGAGGCCTTCGGCGGGCGGAGGCCGCTCTGCTCTTCCAGGGCCAGGAGCTCTCTGTCACGAAAAGCGACCCTCGAGGTGAGGGGAGAAAAAACAAAACGACACAAACAAATAAATAAAAAACTGAACTAAAAAGGGAGTTAAACAAATAATCGCGCAGCCCCACGGGCAGGCAGAGAGCGAAGTGCGGGACCGTGAGCCGCAGCCTGGTCCTCGGGCGCTCCGGAGTGTCTGTGAGCCCGGTCCGGAGTCGCTGTAGGAGGGAGAAGAGGGAGAAGAGCCGTCCCGGCGGGTCCGCGTCCGCCACCAGCCAAGGGGAGCACGGCCAGCCCGGCGGGCCGCCCCGCGCAGCGGGCGCAGCGGCGTGCCTGCGATCACTTACTTGTCCGTCTCTTGTGACATGTTTGATCCAATGAACTCTCTCCCCTTTTCCCGGTGCCTCCGTCTGCCTGGCGGAACTGGACTTTCAGGTCTGTGCAGGTGAAGGTGTGCGTGTGAACGCCCGGGACGGCAGAACCAGAGCTACTGGTAATTCTGCTTTCCTTCCCCCCCTCTCCCGGCTCCACAGCCAGCCGCCGAGGCAGGACAGGTAGAGCCCCCTCCCCCTGGCATGTGGGGAGCGGCGGGGCTGGGGCGCCGGCGGGGCTCGGCACGGGAGAGCGGCCGGGCCGGGTGCGCACAGGTAACTTTCCCGAGCAGCGCTGGATTCTTTCACTAAAGGAGCGGGGAGAGGGACGAGCCGCGCGCTGATTGGGCGGCGCGGCCGCCAGGTGCGCTGCCATTGGCAGAGGCGCGCACAGGTGAGGAAGGAGCCGCCGCCGAGCGCCAGGTAACGAACGCACCGCGCGCCCGCGCCGGGAGGCACCGCGGGGCTGCCGCCGGCGGGAAGGGAAGGAAAAGAAAAGGGGGGGAAACAAAGGAAGAAGGGAGCCGGCGTTCGGGTGGCGGGCAGTTCCACCGTCCAACAACGCCTCCCTGCTCCGCCGCGGACAGAGGGGCCCGGCCGGCCGCGCTGAGGAGGCGAGGAGCGGCCCAGGGCCACGGGTGCCGCGTGAGACTGAGGCGGCCCCTGGCTGCAGTCCACCCGCCTCACCTGTCGGGCTGCTCCGTGCCCGAAATCCCCGGCTTCGCGGGCCTGCGGCTGCCGTCGAATAACACTCAGGGAGGTGTCGCCCTTCGCAGGACAGTTTGGAAGATGTTTGGTTTTTTTCTTGAGTTTGGGGACTTTTTCACCTTTTTTTCTTTCCTTATAATTTTTTTTTCCTTTTAACCTTACTACGGTTGGGACCAGCTGAGTTTGACATTGGTGAATGTCTTTCTGCAGAAGGGACCTCATGGCAGCAAGTTAAGGTGGTGCCAGGTGATGACGCCCACTGTGTAGATCTGAGATCTGATGCCTGAACTGGGGGATGTTGATGATGAGTGTTGAGGGGTCTGTTTTGTCAGAAGGGGAAAGCTGGAAGAGAATGGAAAAGCTGGAATGGAGCGTTTATTGAGGCTCTGTCATGCAGGGATGAAGTGAATGGAGAGGACTGCAGATCCATCAGTCACCCTTCAGCCCAATACAACCGACCGTGTACTTTCCCAGAGGACCGAAGTGGGTTCACAAGGGACAACCAGATCGGGCTGTGGGGGCAGCAGCTTTGACCCTGACGGAGAAAGTGGGGGAGGTGACCTCCTTGGGTCAGTTTGAGACAGGTAGTGGAAGGGTAGCAACGAGGCTCCCATCTGCTATCACCCATTCTCAGTCCCCATTCCTCCATCAGAGACAGGGCAGGACTGCATTAATCCTTCCTGCTGCCACCTGCCCTCCTGGAAACAGCTTTCTATACTAGGTATCCAAGCTGACTGCTGACAACCTCTGCTGTACAAATGGTGCTGAATGTGTAAAGAAAGCACCACTATGTGGGATAGACCATTATATTGCATAGTCATCTTTGCAAGACAATTACCTAAATTATTTCAAACCCATCAAATTTATAATGTCTTAGGTGAAGGGAATTTTCCATTTTCTACGTTCGATTTCATAAAATCATAGAATACCCTGAGTTGGAGGGGATCCTCAAGGATCATGGAGTCCAGCTTCTGAACAGGGGAATTTCCTTTGACAGAGGAATGTAGTAGGAGGGATATTAATGGAAGTACATATTTTTATAACCAAATATAGATGTATACATGCAGACACATACATATGTACATATATATAAAACATGTTATGGTCTGGGGCCTCGTCTTCATTTACCTACTGCTGCAGTTGAAATCAAACTTGACTCTGCTAAGTCTGTGATATTATGAGATCACAATCAGGCACAAATATCTGTTACTGGGCGTTATTCCTTATTTGTGTTCAAAGTAACTAATCAAATCAAACAAATTCAGTATAAATCAGTTTTAAGTCTGCGTAAACATAGTCCCATTAAGATTTGTCACTTTAACTAAACCAAATTAGAAAAATACTTTACCTAGATCAATGACCCTTTGATTGAACACAAGATATTAGTTAGCCATTCTCTCTGTCCATTCACCAGTCACAGGAAAGAAACATTATACAATCTATGAATCCAGTCAAGTTGCCAATGTGGCCATTATTCATGGTGATGCTTGTATGAATTGTTTTGTATAGTACATTTTGAGGAAGCTAGAAGGCTTCAATAAACATAAGAGAAATAGAGTAATTTATTCATAGCAAATGATGCAGTCATTTTGAACAGAATTCTATATAATCTTAAAATTAGTTGCACTTCTCAAATACATCACCTCTCAAATACATTACTATATACCGTTTGCAAGAAATAGTGGTAGAATGCTAGTTACTGAAGCTCTCCCTGTTAACTGCAGAAATTATAAGGTTTCTTTCCCAAATAGTTGTTATGCTGAAAGAAACTTTGAGACCTGAAAAGGTTACCTGTTTGAGCACCATCAATAGGATTAACGCCAGTTCAGGTATCCTCTTTCTCTTTTTGAATTTTTCGGTTTTAAGAAACATTTGGATGTTGTTGTGTGTTCATTTCCCTCTCTCCCCCCCCCTCCATTTTTTCCCATATGAAATGCATAGGAAGAAGGAGAGGAAGATCAGTGATGAGCACATTTGAAAATGCCACCTTCCCCAAGGTGGAAATGCAACTGATATGTGATTTTACAAGAAAGAAAACTGCATTTGATGCCATCTGTAGTCCTGGACCAAACCCAAACTGTAACTCAAACTGAAATGGAGTTTGTTGTTCTAGTACTGGGTCAAATACAAAACTGCCTTTAGCAGCCTGCTCTCAGGAGAGATCCTCTTAGAATGAGGTAGTCAGGAGACTGAATTACTGCTCACTATCTTAGGAGTAGTTCCAAGGTCAAAGTTAGGAATATAAGTGGAAAATGCAGCAATGAATTCTTGATTTGAGGCAGTTGGAGATGACAACTATTATTTAGTTAGGAGTTGCTTATATAGAAAAATATAACCTGAAAATTATTTTAACTAGGAAGGTAGGCGTAGAGCTCACAGTTTTCTGGATGAGCCTTTTGCTTCACACTGCAGGCTGGAATCAAATTGTCAGAGTCCACCTCTAGCTGAACAGGTCAAACAAGTCCTACTTAATCCAGCCTGATGCTCATTCTTCATGATCTACAAGATTATTATAAACTAATCTGTTAGTCATTGAAACATCAGATAATGTTATTTCTGGGCAGACCAGTCTCGCTTCCTGTAGAATCAAGGCTATGTAGAGCAAAAATAGAATAGTTATGCCATACATTATTAAAAATCCAGGACTTGTCTTTGGAGTGCACAGGAGATATTTAAAATGATAGGCTACTGCTTTTCATACTATGCTTGCTTCTTCATTTGCACAGTAGCTGATAGTTTTCTGTGGCATTGTAAGGATTCAGTGTAGAATTCAGCTGTCTAAAGCTTTACCTCATGTTTATACTATTCACTCCATTGCAGCAAATGTCGTTTGGACTTGCCAGCACTGGGTAAAGGAAATCAAGTGTACAAATAAGGCTTAACTAGGCTTACTAATTGCACCAAGTACTTAAAATACACTTCAGAAAACTATTAAAAGAAGCCTATGAGATAAAAGATGTTGGAAAGATATTTATGCCAAAACAGTGTTGTAAAGCAGTTCAGTGAGAGAGCAGATGTTTGAAAACAACTGTTTTCATTAGGCAATGATTACCACATATTTTTATTTGTGTCTTTCTGTCACTGATGGCTGTTGATATAAAATGTATTCTCTCACAGTAAGTTCAAAGATAACCACCTACTTACTAGTTTTGTTATATGCAACATTTACTGTTAATCTTCCCTACAGCCCTCCCTTTGTAGTCTTCTCTATGAAACTATATTGGAATTTGTGCAGACCTTGATCCTCAACTGACTTCAATGAAGCCATCGTGTACATCAAAATGAGCTTAAAAGATTGCAGTGCAACCTTCCTATACCCCCAAACAAGTTGTTTTTCTCCTCGAAGAATGAATTGTTGTGCACTGTTAGCTTCAAGAAAGTGATTCTAAGTAACCATGATCCTGGTAACAGTTGACTTTTAATGTTTCACAATTAGCTATAAAATTCCTGCTGGAGTAGGAGATTTTGTGATTAATGGCCAGTACTTGTGGATTTCCATGATGCTGCCTGGAAACTGCAATTTGTGTTCCCCAAATAGGTCTGTTGAGAGCCTTTTAACAACCCCAAGCTCTCAAGTACCTCCACATCATATATGACAGCAGCAGCTCAGCCATGTGGAGGGTCATGGAATATCAAGCATTTCCTGGCCACAGAGTAAGGTGTGAAGCTGAGTGGCACTTTCTATATGAAATGCTGATCTGCATTTATTTTAGATTCATCAAAACAATATGGAAATACGTAAGGGGGGAAAAGGAGAAGCTTTATTTATTTTTGTTTTGTTCATTTTGTTCATTTCTATATTTCATGAATGTAGACTTCATGGTTCTGAAGCATGACAAAGTTACAACATGACTATCCTATATATCTGCAACACTGCACTGAGGCAGTGTGGCACACACAGTGTTGTTTCAGCTTAAAACAGAAGTAATTTTTAGTGATGAAAAAGCACACATTATGTCACTCCTTTCAGGGTTGACATTGAAACATTGATGCAGGTGAAAATGTGGCAAAGCCTGACAATAGATTGGAATATTAGGTGCAATCTTGATTAGCAGACATTAAAGTACCAATCTATTTCATAAAGATTACTCATAGTTTTGAAACCAATTCAATAGAATTTAATATAGAATTATGGCTTTTCTGCAGATGCTTTGATCTGCCTGGTAGAGATTTTTAGTGATTCATTCAACCATTTTTAAACACTGGGAAAATATAGTTAGGTCACCTAATGACAGTAATTTTGCTGTTAGTGTAAAGCTGTAGTGTGAAAAAAGAGTAAGGAGACATCTTTGAAAGACAATTTCATGTGACATGGGATCCAAGATTTTGGAAATACATTAATTATGCTGACATTAAAATTGTGTCCTGTCTTTATGGGGCAGAGCTAGAGAATGTAAATAACCTGACCAGTGAGAAAAATGTTGAGAGTGCATCTTCCTAAAGCTTTGTCCAGCTTCTTG